GCGTGGGCTGCTGCCTGCGCTCTGCCTGCATCAGTGCGGGCAGGGGCTGGCCCGCGGGGACGGGATGTCTGAGCAGGAGGAGGGGCTGCAGCGTCCCGCTGCCCGTCCCGGTGCAAGCGGAGCAGCTTAAAGGTTCATTTGGATGTAGAGGTCTCGCCGTGTGAACGGCAGCAAGCACCGGATAACGCTGGGGAGGCAGCAGTTACATTGCCCTGTGTCTGCCGGTGCATTTGGGGTGCTTATTGTGAGCTGGGGTGGGAACTGCCCTGCACAGAGCTCCCCAAAATGCTCGCCCCAGCAGAGCTGCGTGCATGCGCAGGGAGGTGTGTGACCAGAGCTGGCTGAGCATCCTCACCTCTGGGCTGCGAGGTGGGGCTGGCATCATGGAGAGGTCAGAAGGGACCAAGGGTCCCTGTGAGGCCACCCCAGGGACCGGGGTCTTCGTGGGTGGGGGGTGAGGCAGACACCTGATTGCTCTCTTGCAGATGGAGGGCTCCGAGGAGCTGGAGAGCAGCCTCCTGACACAGCCCTGGGCTTCTGTTTGCTTTGGCGAGTCTGCTTTTCTTGCCAAAGCGTGCTTCAGGGATACTGGCTACATCCTGCTGATCTCCGACCTCAGCAGCGTCTGGTACGAGAGTGCAGACGCTGAGGCTGTGGGACAAAGGTCCAAGGTGAGTGTCTGGAAAGTCCATGGACCTCCTTTTCTCCTCACAGCAGCTGACGTCCCAGCATAAACTGCTTGGTGACACAATGGCTGTTGGATCTGACAAGGCTCAGGTGCAAACGCCCAGCCTTGGAAGTCCCTGGACAGCTCTGCCCAAGCACTGTCACCCTGCTTGGCCGAGCCCCATCCTCCTGGGAGAGTGGGCCAGGCTATTTGGCATGCCCAGGGCAGCCAGGTGTTCACTGGGGCTGCATGCTGAGGACGGCACGCTTGTTTCACCTGTCGGCTGGATGGGCAGCTGCTTTCCCCAGCACCAGTGTATTAAGGAGGGGCTTGAAACAAGGCTGCCTTCCCACCAGTGACGGAGAGACTCCTGTTCACGTTCATAGCCAGGCACAGGCTCCCATGGCGTGTCCTGTCAGCACAGCCCCCAAAACACATGGGCCCATGCCTCATGCCCTCACCTTAGCCCGTGTGCCCAGGCCCCCACGTGCCACCCCTGTCCGCCACGTCCCTCTGTCACAGAGTGGCTGTGCTGAGTGGCTGGTGGCGGGAGGGGTGGGCATGCGGTGGCAGCCATCCCCCAGCTCTGGCAGGTTAGCTGAACTGTGACAACCCTTGGCCAGCCTGTGACACTCACGGTGACATGCGGGGCAGATGCACTAGTGGAGACCATTGCACCCTGCCCACCACCCAGACCCTCCTGGGCTGGTGGGGCAGGGGAGTCTTCCCAGCTCAGCTGGCCTGAGAGAACCAGTGGGGAATGTCCTGTCACGGGGCTGGAAGCCAAGGCCCGGGGATGGCTTTTTGCAGCGCTGAGACACAAAAGTAGTTTGGCTCCTTCTGCGCTGGAATTTCTGCTACTTTTTTTCCAGTGCTAAACTCCCTGGGGTGTTGCTGTACCCCTAACATTGGCTTTCCCCAGGAGCTGAACAAGCGGCTGACGGTCCACGTGTCCTCCTTCCTGCACCGCTTGCGCAAACTCATGTGCCCCTTGCTGGCAGGGCAGCCGGATGCCGTCACCTCCTTCACCTGCCACCGTGATGCCAACGGCCTCAGCCTGCACGCGAAGAGTGAGGTCTCGGGACTGCCCTTCTACTGGGACTTCCACTGCTGCCCCGCTCCTGTGGAGATGGTGAGAGAAGCTGCGGAGAGCTGGGGGGGGACACGGCCAAAATTAAGGATTGTCTCCTAATGCTTGGAGGCTTTTGGGTGGTCTTGGGCCATGCTGGTGGCTGGAGGGGGCCTCGCTCTGCCCGCTGCGC